TCAAACCATGCAAACCATTTATTCATTGACTACCAAATAATTTTTATAACAATTATTTAATATAAAAAGTACACGAGAAAAAGTGGAGATACATATTTTTAAATATACACGGTGTATTAATGAGTAAACTGAATATATACGTTATATAAATGCATACTTTAAGGTTTTTCTTGTCGTACAACACATCGAGAGGTGTAAGGATTGATCAAACGAAAGATCGACCGTAGTGAGGTCTTTTTCTGCGAAATCCTAACACCCCAAGGTGTGTTTTACGACAAGAAACCCTTAAAATATGCATTATCTGACTTATATACCGTCACAAAATATCATAATACTCTGCAAAGATTTGCAGGAATGTATCCTTTTAGACTTTGTTAAATTGGGACTTTTCAAAAAAATTGTGCAGAATTTATCTTTGTTTCAAATAAAGAAATACTTGAGTAAGTTTTGATGTGGTGAAGTTGAAATCATCCCTTCGTAAATTTTACGGACGCCATCACGAGTTGGTTGACCGTAATGGAATAACCGTTTCACAGATGATATCGGATTTGTTCCTTATGTCGTAACTACAATACCCTTCCCTTTTCACGAATGTGACCTACCGAATTAGACCGGATTTGTAATAACATAAGCAACACGACGGGTGCCACATGTGGAGCAGGATCTGCTTACCCTTTCGGAGCACCTGAGATCACCCCCAGTTTTTGGTGGGGTTCGTGTTGTTTAGACTTTAGTTTTCTATGTTGTGTCATCTGTACTATAATTTGTCTGTTTGTCTTTTTTTTTTTGCCATGGCGTTGTCAGTTTGTTTTTGATCTATGAGTTTGAATGTCCCTCTGGTATCTCTCGTCCCTCTTTCATCCTGTCCAGTACTACAGTAAAAATTTCACATAACATGCATATCATTGCATATAAGATAACAACCATCACCGGAGGTTAACCAATAATTTTTTTCTGTTTACAAACTTTAGTAACCCTGTCACCTCAAGATCCCAAGATTTTTAATAGAAACATCAAATTAAAAAAAAAATGGTGCTTAGAAACACCCAAGATAAATGTTGATGGCTCTCAATTTTTTTTCTGCAATGAAATGCAGGGTTGATTTCCTACAACTGTCAAATTCCAGTGATTTATTTTTACCCGTTTTCGTATGAATCCGGATAAGACGTACTATTATGTGGTGGTATTACACCTAAAGAAGACTTTTTTGTTGAAAAAATTGGTTATTTCAAGCATTACTGTCAAGTTTTGTCATAATCAGTTCAGTTATTCAGAGAATTTTTTTTAAATGTTAGACGTCATCTAACATGTCTAATGCGATTTGGGCAAAATTTCTTCGAAAAATCAAAATCACGCGGCATCATGATAAATTAAAGAGTGGACTAATAAATGATTATATATTCATCGCATATGCATAAAAAACAGTCGAATAAGAATTAAAAGATGACTCACAGATGATAAACACCACTAATATACCACATTATAAGGTCCCTTTTGGTCCATTTATACCTCTCATTCCCTCACAATATTGGGATAACTATCATATATATATATGTACGAAATATAATAATAAATGAATGATTAAGTTTTTTAAGCTGAATGAACTACTTTTAGTATCCATATAAAAGTTTACTGACTCCATGGAGGTTTCACTAAGTCCTTATGTAAAACGTAAGTTTACGCCGCGTTTCAGAGAATGACATATGATTGTTCCTATAAGTAAATAATTTGTTGTTCCTGCTTCAAAAATCATTTGATTTACTTATTGCTGCATATTTCTTAAAGAAGTACCGAGGAAAAAGTTTTACTGCTATAGCCAAATATAGGAGATAAGGAGAAAAAGTCAGAAAAAACTCCCCAAAAAAATGAGTATGGCTTGCTCTGTATACTAAAATTCAAGGTATATACCTATTTCAAGGCAATTTCCTCTCAAATATGTTTTTGACACTCAATTCACTCAGAATTATTATTTTTTTCAATATTCAGGTGAAAAAGCATACAATAAAAAAGAAAAGGAAAATAAGAGTACATGTACATGATGTATACAAGGTCAAAGTTGAATATGCAGCTTCCCTTTTATGGAATTAATACCAACATTGTGTTTTTCCTATTAGTCTTTATAAAATTGGGACTTTTCAAAAAATCGTGCAGAATTTATCTTTGTTTGAAATATAAAAATACTATTTTGAGTAAAATTTTATCCTGTCCAGTGTTACAGTGGAAATTTCACAAAACATTTCATTGCATATAAAATAATAACCGTCACCGAAAGTTAACCAATCAAATGTTCACCTCTTTTTTTCCTATTTACAAGCTTTAATATCCAAGTCACTTCAATATCCCAAAATATTTAATAGAAACACTAACTAAAATAAGAATGGTGTTTGGAAACACCCAAGGTAGATGTTTATAGCTCACAATTTTTTTCCTGCAATGAAATGCAGTCTTAATTGCCTACAACTGTAAAATGCAAGGGAATATTTTGTCGACCATTTTTCGTAAGAAACCGGATGTGACGGACTATGATCCGGTGGTATTACGCCTTCATTGATGTTACATGGATATTACATCATATAATTGACGTATAAAAGTTGTGTATCTGTTGTTGACTACATATCTAAGTACATGTATGTTGTCATGACATTAATCACTAGGATATAATATAATTAAGCAATCAGTCATAAGATAAATATAGAATATAATATGAATAAAGTACAAGTGCTGTATAGTCAATAACATTCAAATGTTTTACATATGTTATCTTAAATTTCGTATATTTAATTTAATTTTGAATTATCTTAGAAATATTATATTTACATATAGTCTGTGATACAGTTTAACGTTACTCAATTTGTCACATGGGGGACTCTTAGATTCAATGGCCGGGTGTAACATTGACTAACAAATTTTGTAATTGTGTTAAAATTTTTTATATATGTTCGCAAGTCACTATGATAAACATATTACTTACTTAAAAACAAATGATTTCTACAGCAGATACCTTGCACTTACTTACTAACCAAGAGAAGTCTTACATACGTCAGCATATTTTTATTATGCTGTATTTTGTTTTCTATGATACTGTTATTGTAGAGTTAAGTACTTTTCTTATATCGATTTTAGTCAACATGTTTTTAAATATGTTTATTAGGGGAAAATGGAGATGTAAAAAATCATTTAACATCGGCACATACCATTGTGTCTGTCAGGAACCTCAGCAAGAGGTTGTATTATGTAAAATCCCAGAAGGATTTGGCTATTATGTAAATGTACTTTTTGTCAAATAGTCTTCAACTGTTTCAGTTTTCATACACAGTTTTCTTTCAAAAGAGAGGCAAAAGATAACAAAAGGACATTCAAACTCATAAATTTCAAGTAATTGGATTTGAACGTTCCCGATGGAGGTAAATCTAGATAAGCGTGTCTGACGCATTGAATGTGTTAAGAGTTGTTGTCATTTTTCATCTTTTAAATGTTTTTTTGTTTATTTGTGGAAATTGGTGTTATACGCAGATTTTTGACTGTCTCCGTTCAACTTTTGCTAAATCGGGATAACGTAGAGCTTAGCATATTGTAAAGACCACTATCTTTGGATGAGGATTATATGGTACCTTTTATATTTTTTTGTTTGGTTATTTTTTTTTTGTCGAAACTGTGCCATTTATGTTTAAACCACATCTATTTGGATTCTTATTACATGAATGGAGAAATAACTTATGTATCATGTTTCTAATTAAGGAATAACTGTAATATTTTTTCTGTCTATGAAGAAATAATATAAAAAATGTGGTGCACACTGAATAACCCGCGTAGCGGGTTATTTTAAAGTGTGCACCACATGTTTTATGTTATTTCGAATAGACAGACAAATATTACAGTCATTTCTTATAATTTAATTCTAAATTCCATTTTAAACCGAAGTAAACCATGAAAAAACGTTGATGACATCACGGTCACATGACAAAATTATGTCTATGAGCTGATAAACAAAACAACGTCAGCCAATCAGAAGACGCGTTACATTCCAAATTAAATTATAAAGAGAAGAAACGGATCGAATATTTTTTTTATGATCCTTTGAGTTATTTTATACCTTATACCCCGCTTACGTTGCTATGTAAACTTATCCCCGGCTTAGTATATTTCTAGGATTCTGATTGGTTAACGCACGTCGTTACAAAACCCATAGCCCCTGTGTGTTGCTAACCCATATCCCCGGACGTTGCTACCCATTACATAGGGGAATTTCACGCGCGTTTTCCTTAGTTCCATGGTTGTTCCTTATGAAATATCGAATTCTGTAGATTTTCCATGATGTCTGTATAATTAAATATTTAATCCACTAACGATTTTATCTTATTATATCGATTATTTGCACACATTTTAGTAAATCGTCACTATGCAGCCACATTGTCAATGAATGGTACTACTGACCTAGCTATGCAAATGACCCACGTTGACGTCACACCGTTTATGATGTAACTCTCACAACATTGCGCGCCAAATTCGACCCATTTCAGTTTCTCTGTCTCTAGTTTAAAAACGTCTTATATTTGTCTACCTGTAGGGTTCTACCAAAGGTAGTACCCTACACCCCGTTAAAAATATGTCAAATTCCCAAATTTCAATAAAAGATATTTAAAAAATGAAAAAAACGTTGATTTCACGTTTAACTTTGTGGTCGAATTTCTCTAAATATCGCCAGATTTAGACTAAGACCGGGGATAAATTCGTTATCTACGTTCATATCCGTAGATATGGATATTTTACCACCCTTCAGTACCCTGTACACCCTTCGGCTGCGCCTCAGGGTGTACTTGGATACTTCAGGGTGTTAAAATATCCATATCTACGGATATGAACGTAGATAACTTATAATGTTATCGACGTATTTAAATATTTATCTGTTGGTTTTAAATGCTCCTCAACTTTGTAATTGTATCGGCATTACTCCTGCAAGAAGAAGCATTAAACTGGACCCCTGTTTCGCTCATATCAAAATGTTTGTGGCTGAGCTTCAATCAGTAAGTGGCAAGTTTAGAGAAGCATGCGCGCAACAACTTAGTAAACGAAGTCTCCATTATTAGAAATATATTGCTGAAATTTCTGTTCTTTAAATTTTTATTTACCCTGAAAAGGCGGGCGAAAGAAGTTTGATTTTAATTGGCCACACTGGAATTTGATATTCGCTGCCAAGTGGGCGACGGAAATGGAATTTTTATGGGCCCACACTGAAATTTACTTGCCAATGGCGAGTAGACGAACGCTAGTTTCAAACCCTGAGTTTTTACAACGACTGGGTCGATGCTACTGCTAGTCGACTCTTCATTCCATAATGTATCACCAGCCCAATAATATATTTATACACGTCTTTCCTGTACATACACTGTAAATCAAAAGCTAAAAAAGTCGAGTTCTAATTTCAACCAAATAGGCATAGCTAGCCTCATCTCAAGTAGATCTGTAAAACATACTGTTTATTTCCTTTGTGTTAAATGAGACACGGAGTTTTATGGTTGAATTAGTAGAGATTTTTTGTACAAATGTTTTGTCTGCCGAAATCGTATTCCAAATATAATTTTATTTTTCATGATTGAATCTATCATCGTATTATTTTCTTTGAAATAACAAAGTTAGGTTATATTTGTGTACAAACATTGATTAAAGTACAACTAGGCATCTGTGTATTTTTTTATTTAAATTGTATATTCATCATAATCTTTATGTTTTATATATTTATTTTACACTGAACAAATTATCTTTTTGTTTAAATATCTGATGATTTCAATTTTTAACTGATTAAGACAGGGAACGATTATATAATCCCTTTTTTCGTTCCCCGTTAAACTGCTATATAAATTTATAATTCTTAGGTTTTTTTTTTACCAAACCAGTATAGGAACGAATTGTAGTTAAGAAGTCAGATAAGCCTCAAAATTCCAATAAAGTCGTCTGAATTGTAATTGTACAGACTGTATCCCATTCGTGATTGTGACATTGCGATTGAGTATGAATCGCATAACGGGTAATTTATGCAAACATGAGACGTTTACTATATTTACGCACCCGAAATCGCTCCTTGTTGAGTTCTGTTGATTCCCTCATGATTATTGTCTTGGTTTGTCTCTTTCTAATCGATGTACGATGTCACATTTTTTCATAAGCATAATAAGAATAGAGATACTTAGTGTATACCTACATTCTGAAAATTTGTATTATCTCAACTTGCTGTTTTCAAAACGAACGCTCACGCTATAAGAGAGTACATATACCTCTCCATGATGCACTTAACAAGGAACATGATTAGATATTACCATACTACATATTTCGGTTATAGAACGGAAATCTATTGCACTTTGGTGAATAACATACATATTTTATGTGCTGTACATTTGCAGGTATTAAGTACTGTGCTCTGTGTTGTGTATAGATTGAATGGTACCGTAGTTGGATTTCATTGTGATGAGAATGCTGTCCACTGTTTTACATCACTTGATATAAAATCCGCTTTAACTATGATTGGTCAAGGAAACATCAGTCAAGTGTACATAAAGGATCGGACAATTTATTCACTAAATACAGACTTAGACGACCAATTCCCTATAGATGATATAATAACTGCTGACGGTTGGAATCATACAAGACATCTGATTACTGCAAATAGATCCATGCCAGGACCTTCTATTATTATTTATGAAAACCAGAAAATAACAATTCTGGTTAAAAACCAAATGATAAATGAAGATGTTACTATTCACTGACATGGCGTTAACCAACTTGGATCGCCTGCAATGGATGGTGTGGCATTTCTTTCTCAATGTCCGGTACTACCGGAATAAACTTTTAATTACACCTTCCAACCGAGATTTGGGGGATCCTACTGGTATCACTCACATATAGGTAATCAAAGAGATATGGGCATGTAAGGTGCATTTATCATTCTCAGAAAAAGGGATACAGTACCATTTTAATTACAACATATTGTACAGATACAAGAATGGAATCATCTATATAACGCAATGGACCTGCTGTATGCAAATGTGAAAGATGATGTTAAATCTCCAAATTCTATTTTGATTAATGGAAGAGGAGAGTTAAAAGATAACCTTGCAACTCTAGAAATATTTCATGTTACAAAGGGGGATCGGTGTCTGTTTAGACTTATAGGCGTAGGATCAATGCACGTACAGGAGAATTGTAAAAGATGAGATTTTTTTTTGTTTTGAAGACTACACAAGAGTCAACCGAAACAGCATTACATGTCTTGAATTTCGGTTTTCCAAAAGGTAATTCATCCATAAATGGCCGCATATTTTGTTGGCCAACGGTATCCGCTCTCACTCAGCCATCTGAGGTTGATACCGACTGTAGTAGATGCACTGATGAAAAAACTTGTCACTGTAGCCATTCACTTAACTTGAAAAATGGGTCTGACATTATTATTGTTTTACTTAATCTCGGTACCGGAGCTTTCATTTCGCATCCTATTCACATGCATGGCCATACTTTCAAAGTTCTTAAAACGGAATTTCTCGAGGTTACCATTGATGGCAAATTCAAGTTGACAGAAGATAAAGAATGCAGCAATACACTTCCGAATATTAATAGCAGTTGTAATAATGCACGATGGAGAAATTCGTCGTGTAATGATTACAGTAACATCCCTGGTATTAATATAAGTGATCCTGTACGCAAAGATACAATAGTGGTACCATACGGGGATATTTGATTATAAGAATAAAAGCCAGAAACCCAGGAGTTAGGTGTATGCACTGTCACATTGATAAACATATGGTCGAGGTTATGGCGTTAATCATGTTAATGCTGAATGAATCTTTTGAGCAAATAAAAGTACCAAATGGATTACCAACATGTCACAGCTATCTGGCGGAAATGTCAGGTAAACTTAGCGCAACATCTGTGCCTCAAACAATTTCTACAATAGGTATGATCAGGTCTTTAGATAAAGTTGTCGGGAAGGCAATTTGAATCGTTTGCAACTTGCATTAACCAATCAATATTATATCAATATATAAATTAGTATCTAACTTTTAGGTTCATGTTAATCAAAGGCTTATAATTGCATTCTGAAAAATCATTTTTGAATTCGTAGTTTTTTAAATTTAAATTGGTTTTAATGATCATAAGTCTAACTTACAGAATTATCAACTATAACATTGTATAAGTTAAATCTAAGTCAAATAATTAAAGCAGTCGTTTTACAATGTTATATTTTGCGAGTGTTTCTTATCTATTCTTGATTTATGTATTGCTTTTGAAATATAAAAAAAGAAACTGAAAGGGTACGTATTTAAAACAAAAAATAATATGCGTTCTCTGAGGTATAACTTTTTGAAATCGCTGAACAGAATTTCGTTTGCAATTATATATGTATCAAGTTGATCATGTTTAGTTTGTTGACATTTGAGTTTCGTGTAATGCGCTTTGACATTGGAGTGAGAAAGAAAGAAGAAAAACGACAGATATTCGAGCGTGTTCGAATAAGAATCGTTCCTTTTCAATTTGAAAATTAAGTTATCAAAACATTTATGGAAGATACAAAAGGAACATTCAAATTCATAAGTCGATGGGAAACTGACAATACAATGGAAGAATAAGCGAAAAACGACGAAAAGACATCCAACCATCCACATACTGCCACGATTAAAACTAAACACTGAGTAACACGAACATCATAAAATAATTGGGGAGATCTAAGTTGGTTTAGATAGCTTGGCATACACTGCTAACATAAATTTGTTCTAAACAAAACGACGAGATCTATACTGTTTGATCAAGCAATCACCGTCTTTCTTGACATATGTCATCTGTTCATGAATCTCAATTCTTGAAATACTAACATTTATTTATCAATGATTCATATTTCTTATCTATCATAATTTAAGATCACATTTGAAAAAGAAAAAAAATAGTAAAATGGTGAGAACACATTGAAGAGTAATACTGTGACTTTTGCAGCTTTTTATGTTAATAGTATTTCATTGTTATTTTAGATTCAACACATATACTAATAAGTGGTGCTGTTGGAATTTTGACAGTTGTAGTACTATTGTTGTTTGGTAATATAATTTGGAAAAAGAGGACAGACTCAACTACATCCAATAATATAGAAATGCACGAACCGAGTTCATATAATTTTTTTGCAATTACTTTTAACATAAAGTTGGTTCCTGCACCAAATGAGTCTGGTTATATAGACGCTGTATTGGTTGATGTTTTTGTTTCTTTGTATGTGTGTTCTTTTCAAAGGGGAAAAAAATAAAATACAATTGAATGCAAGTTTGTAGCGGTGATTCCAAATAATGATGATATAAGACTACGGAACTGTACGATACTCCATCTGCACTGGAGGGTCCGGGATCGCGAAAAACGCTTTCAAATAATCTCTATAGCAACAGAGAAAATCAATATACTATTATCTCAAAACCGGAGAATATAAGAGACTAAGTCAAACAAGTTAATGAAGTAAAGCGCCAACTTCATCGGGACAGATGTTATAACAAAGTTAATGCATCATCAATCTAAAGATATAGTGATTTATGCAGAGTTGGTCGTCTACAACAGTAATGGTTTCAACAAAATAATGGATAATACTTTGAAGTTGAAATAAACCGACAGTAAAGGAATACCGAATTGACGTTTTTTTATAAATTTTTGCACTTGAATGCGTCTGATAAATTTACCGCTCTATTTATACCATCAGTTCTGTTACACATAATGAATACACATTCCAAGTAAACACATCCGGTTTAAATGTGAGACAGTGTTCAGTATAGTAAATAAATCGTCTATTGAATTCCTCGCAACGCTTCAGCTTTTTTCAGATCGAGATCAGATTAACCCAAATTATGTGTCATTTTTCACTGTGGTGATATCGTTAAATAACAATTATATACAGTATGTCCCTGGTTTTCACTTAGACAGACTATACAGTTGAAGAAAAAACAAGGGACCATCTCAAAATACAAAATAACAATAGAGATACATAAAAAAACAAAATTAATTTTTTATTATGTACATCAGCGTTTGTGTCTCTGGAAATTTATAATTTTTTGTATTTGAAAAAAATCGAAGATAGTAAAATTCCATCTATTAAAGAACATTCATTCTTACATTTATTACGCTCTGTTATCAGAAGTTAAGATAAACAATATCATGGTCAAGTTTGTATATTAGATACTATCTATATAAAATATATCACGATGTTTGCACCGATTTATACCAATAGAACACATCGATAATTTAGAAAGCCGGATAAGAACCTACAAAATGAGACCCAGTTGCAGCGCAATCCAGAGAAGCAGGATCAGAAAAGCAGAAGGTTAACCAACTGCAACCCGTCAAAATTAAAAAGAAAAAAAAAGATTATAAATTTGACACGCTGAAAAACATACGGAGTATAAAAATTCATAACAAAAAAAGTTCTTAAACTTTTTCTGTAGGTGTAGTGTTTTTTCAACAGAGTCAGATCAGATCAGATATTTCAAAAATCGACATATATATGTTCATAGATAACGATGTTTTTTCGTAGATGTTTCAATTTTTTCTATCAAAAACAAGGACACAACTGTTTGCCCAATTCCGAAAAAAATTAAATTTGATGAAACTATACTAATCGACAAATGAAATCTCATGGAGAAAATATTTCTATTAAATACTCGCCCGCTGTATCCCCTTATTTTCTTTAAAAACAAGGAAATTCATGCAATATTGGCTGCAGTCTTGCTGAAATGAATTTCGTATTGTCACGACCCGGCGACTGCAACGACTGCATAGACTATTGCAAAAAAATGAGGTGCATGTATCATGCAAGATCTATTAATCATGTTTGTCAAATCCATCTGTACTCCATACATCAACAGCATGTTCAACCTAGACAACACTATGTACAGTAATAAATAAATACACACAACTACATCAATTTCTTTAAAAAAAAAATGAAAAACATCGTAGGAGTTAGACATACATTTCTTATTTAAACTTTGAAACGACCCAAGATTTAAATGCTACCTCGACGTGCAATTGTAATCCTTTTCGTGGGTGTATGACAGTTTCCGCAAATGTCTATTGATTCAAATTGCATTTCATTGATAACACAAATATTTTGATATAGAGTAATGGTGGAATCTTTGTAGAAAACATAATTTTAAAACAGAAATTGTATTATCACAAAACAAGAAGGGTAGAAGACTAAACTATTAATAATATCATAATGGACTTAATTACCTTGTATGTGTAGATCAACTTGTAAATACAGATAAATTGATAAAAAGTAAAAAAAAAAAAAAAACAACAAAAACAGTTGTTTAATTTAGAGGATGTGCCATTCGATGATCTCCCTTATATAACAACCGCCGGAAAGATAGAAAAAAAAACCATTTCTATTTGACACACGAGAAAATTGTTTGTATCATCTGGCAACAAAATGTACTATGTTGTGTTGTCTTCCGCTTGGTTGACGTGTATAACAGAGTATAATGATGACTAATTTTAATGTAAAGTTGTTTTAAAGTTATCTGAGTAAATGGGTTGAAATTAAAAAAATTATACGGCAATATAGATGATGATAATCTGATATATATAATATCTTTAATAAAACGTTACGATTCAACGGATTTGGACGAAACTAATGATTATGTTTTCAGAATGGATTACTTTCAAGTACATGTACACATAAATGAAAAGAAAATTTTGATAATAGTGTGGGCTGTGGTTTTCTTATGAACATACATTAAAGAAAAACATATTAACTATTCATTATAATGAATGGAAGCTGGCATGTAATAAATACATTAACACTTTTTTCTAGAAGATCAGTATTCTTTATTTAATAATTTCTTAAAATTAATACAAAACCAAATTTGATAACTTAAAATAAACGTGTGTTTGTAGAGATTCAATTTTTTTGGAAGCATTCATATGAATTCAGAGAATTCTTTTCAGATTGTGTCACCTGTTAAAGTGTAAGGACGTCACATACTTAAAATATACATCAAAAGTTCATTTCAATTATCCTAAATTTGTTTGAATTTCCTGAAATCATCATTTGAAAAATGAACTTGTTTTCTGAGGCATATTTGTATACGACACAAATAGCATGACATTATAATACAAGTTATTCGATATATATCTGTGAATGACAAAAAATATTTGGATTACAGCCCATGCTTTGCCTGATTTTGTATAAAAACAAAAAAATCACATTTTAGATTTTTGAGAGTGTAAAAAAATGTTGGAAATACGTAAGCCGTTGCATCAGTAGGTCCAGTTGCTGTGACCATTTTCGTGACTAAAAAATTCATAAATTATGAAAGAGGTACGTATATACAATAAAATTAGATGCTAGAAATTGTCCGTAAATTGAAATTATAATGTTCTTATTTAGTTAATTATAAGCATATTGCAATATGTAATTCCGATCGTTTAATTAATTAATGATCTAATATTACAATTTTTACTTGACACATACTTGATCATGTTGATGTTAGAATGTTGGTGTAATCGCATTAAGATTTGATTTAAGTTTGGCTTAATACTATGTCGAAGATGATGATGATGATGATTATAATTTATATTATTATTATTATTATTAAACATGTTCAACATGCAGTTAGCGTTTCCATTGTTTTATACAAGCGTAACATATAAAGTGTCAGCATCTCTTTCTTCATAACGTGCTCAGGTTGTCACTTTTCAATTTGCAGTTTAGCTGTTAAATGAACAATAACAAATTAAACAACAGATCGAATGAATAGTTTGTAGTGTACTCAAATTAGTATTCATTTATTGGGCTACGGTAATATTGCCATTCTAAACATGATTTGACACGTTCAAACTAAAAAGCTTATTCAGTAAAGATAAATATTTCATATTATAATCTAATAAAGGATGAATTGTAACTAAACGCAATGATACTGATAGCATATAATTGCCAACTTGACATCAACACATACTAGACATGTGACCGA